CTACAGTGAATGAGTTAACTGCAGCTAAACACAGGCAGTTCTTCTGGGATTTGAAATGTGCATTTGACAGTTTGTTTCTGTCCATCTCTCATGTAAAACCACCTCCTCAGGCCTAATGCTGAGAACAAGGAGAGCAGCAGGGCAGGTAGGATGGGAAGTCTTACCACAGTGTGGTGGAGACATTCAAGTGATAGTAAGAGGAGGTAACATAGCCAATACCTGGGGAATGAAAAGAAAAGGAGCAATGCAGATGCTGAGCACACTGCCAAAGGCTTGGGAAGGGTCAGGGCATTATCTGTGCTATGGAGCCATGGTCTGGGATAAGGACAAGCAACAGCTAGAGAACTGAAAATACATGAGAAGTTGGTTACTGATATGGCATTTGCCTTACTGGGGACAGCAGTGAGAGCTGACAGGAAAATGAAGAGGAAAAACATTTTAGCTCAGTCACAAAGATTTGCATCAGACATAACAACTACTGACAGCTCTTCAGCCTCCTCTCTAGTGGACACAGTTTCTGCAATGCACAGACAGCTCCTTGAAAAGACAGAACTGCTCATGAAACACTCAGTTATAATTAAACAAGCACAAACCACAACAGTTACCTACAAACAAATAATAATAAAATGTTCCATAGGTCTTAGGCATTAAATCTGTCAAATGGTGTAGCTGACACCATTCCCAAACTCATGCAATTTCCCCAGAGGACGTGTTTGTCTGAACCATTGACTTCCTGAAGTGGATTGTCCTCGTGGGCATTTGCTCCAAAATCACAGGGAATAGTCAAACAGTGAAGCTCAGACTGGGAAAGCAACTTCTGCTCCCAGCAGCAATGCTCAGCATCTTTCACAACTGGCACTTAATGTGCTCATACTGATACAAACTGAAGCCTTTAAGACAATGGATGATCCTAGGGATCCTCCCCCAGTCACAGCCCATCCAAACCAAAGCCAGGGGCACACTGAGCTGCCCAGAGCACTGCAGGCCCTGGGATGCACTGCTTATCTCACTCAAACACTTTTCCTGTGAATCAGTCAGGAAAAACAGACGTGATTAAAACAATAAACTGGTGCTGTGTTTCCAGGAGCCACTGAAACTGCAGAGTGTTATGCATAAAAGAGCAGGTGGACTGCAAGATTAAGGGGTGTTTGCAGATCTTCTAGCTAATTCAGCTCAGTCCTTCAATCATATCTCATTTGATTGCTGTTCCCACTTTAGGGCAAGTACAGCCTTATAAGTGCTTTGAATTATAGCTCTGCTGTACCAACCTGGAGTTTACAGCACAGCTCACAAAACATCCTTTGAGTACATCACACATTCTGTTGTGTCAAAAGTAGGGATGGGGAAAGGTGTGATAATCCCCTTCACACATGGGCAGAGCAGGAGAGATGCCAACCAGTTCTGCAGTCGTTACAGGTCCAGTTCACACTCACCACAGAGCATCTCAGAAAATTTGGGGCCTTTGGATTCAGCCCTAAAATAATCTGTTTTTTTTTTTTTCTCCTGGTCTTGCTCTTTAGTGTGAAGGATACTCTGATTCTCACTGCAAGGCTGTGAAAAATGAGTACAAGACACAGGCACAGCACCAAGGATTCCAGAACTCTGTTCCCAGTGCTGTCACTCTCTAAACACATTGCCTTAAACCAGTGACCCAATCTCTGTTTATTCAGCTGTAAAATGGAGATAGAAATTGCCATATAAATCCTCACAAGGAAAAATTAAGTAATGTTTTGCAAAGAACTTGGAGACCCTCACATGAAAGATTCCCTAGAGACAGAATAGTGTGTCAGAGCAATTGGGAAATCCCTTGTAAAAGAGAAAAAATAGAAATGAAAACAAAACAATCCAAAATTAAAAATGGTATACTACAAAGCCACTTGGTAACATGGATGGGGACAGAATGTTTGCAGCCCTAATATTTACAAACCTAGACTTCCTAACACGAAAAGAGGAGAGGAAATCCTTTCTGATTTAGTCTTTGACAAACTATGAAGAAATCATTTTAACCTACACTTTCTGAACTCATTACTGTCAGAGCATTTATAGCCAGTATGGGCAGTAATCTGCTAATGCCACACAAATCTGTGCTAGAGGAGGTGGAAGGGTAGAGCAGTTGGCACATACAACCTCAGACAGTTTTTGATGGCACTTAAAACAAACAACCCACTCTACTGAAGTGTCGTTTGCTTTAAAGGTTTTTAGAGTTGTTCTTGGAGGTTTTATAGATATTTGCTGGAGTTACATCCAAACCCAAAGGAACATTTCATAACACATGACAAACATTCTCAATTAAGGGGCAAAGTGTTGTTCATGAGCAGTTTGAGGTACCCTGACACCTATCAGAGCACATTCAGCCCCAGATACAAGGCCCAAACACTCAGCAGATCCAGTACAAATGGGCTGAGGAAGTAGATGTTACAAATATTAATCTCACTCCATTAAACATCATTGATTTATCAACCTGTGATTCATAGCTGCACTTTAGTATGTTCCTGTGTGACTTGCATCTCTTTTTTCTTTTTTTTTTTGGCACTTATCTTCCAAAACACTCCATCACAAATTTGTCCCTAATCTCTACAAGTGCTTCCTTTAAATGTTTCATTTTTCACTAGCTTACTTACCATTATTAGCTTTTCTGATTTCACTATAAACTGTTTCAGTCCCCTTCTGTACAGGAGCTGGAAAATGTATTGGCACAGAATCAATTTCTTTTCTTTTTTTTTTTTTCCCCTTCTTCACTTTTTTTTTTTTTTTTTTTTTTGTTTGCCTTATGAAAAGCTCCTTAAACAAACAGAACACACTGTTTTACTTTCAGAGGAAGTTACATAAGCACCAATCAGCCTGTGGAGCCTGAGGAAAAAGCAAGTGAACCTCCTCCCCCAACCAGCCTTGAGGTTCTGGGAGGGAGATATCTCTCCCTCTATATAAAAATGGTGATGAAAATCAGCTTCCCCTTTAAAATTTGCCTTTCACATTCTAATAATCTTCTCTGAACTTAAATCAATACTGGTTTAATTTTACAGAGAGCTCTACCACTACGGAAGAGTTTCTCTGGATCCCTTTGAAGAGTTGCTTCAGTTTGCCCTGAGGATTTCAGGATCCTAGACCTGAGGAGATCACTACACCCCTTTTGGCAAGTTGCCTGATTAAATTTTAGGGGTACAAAAATTTATCTAAATTGCTGTTCTTTGTGAAACATCTCAGAAGAATATTTAGAGTTTTCACATCACACAGTTTCTGTTTGGTGCTGCCTGGGAAAGGTTTGTCCTCAGCTCCTCAGCCTGGAAGGCTCTTCCATTAGTGCATGAGCTCAGGTGGACACAGCAGGAGTGAAGGCTCAGAAGGTTTGTGGAAAGGCAGAAAGTAAGATGAAAAAAGCAAACAGAGATTTGTGCCTCCAAGGACAGGTGTGGGATACAATTAAAACATTATCCTTCCCAGATTCTCAGGTTGACAAATAAGGTCCTATAAACCTCTGCTCTTGTATGAGATGGAAAACAAAAAGCTCCTCCTCCACTTTTCCTATTTGAGATCTGGGAAAACTTATCCACCAAGTTTGATACCAAACTAGAGGCACTAACACAAGCAGGGAAAGGGCAGAGCCTTATCTAAAGGCCTGAAAACAGCAAAAACTCCATTTCTCTATGGTCAGCAGAAACTTCTGGCCAGTAGGAGACTAGAACAATTTCCTTGTAAAAGTTATAGAAAAAATAAAAGAAGGTTGTTCCCTCTGCAAGAAACTGGAAAGAGAATTGACATTTCTGGACTCAATATCCTGTACTTTAGCTATTACAAAAACCCAACCCCTGACTCAGAGTCAGGACTGTTATTGCTCTGCATCACTCTGAAGAACCCAAGTGTCTCTGGCACCACATTCTGATTTCCCAAAGCTCATTTCAAGTTTTTTTAAGTCCTGTTAAGCATCTTTAAGCACTGGGAGCTAACACATCACAACTGAGCTGCAAAACTGCCGTTAATTTAAACGACAGGAGGAGATACACTTCACCAAATTCCTAATCTCAGCTTTCAAACTTGCAGCTTTGGCATGAACTTTCTTTGCAAAATAGTCTGAATATCTCGAAGCACATTTCATATGCTTATGGACTATTGCTTAAATGATCAATTCTGTTCCCAGCGAAGTAAGAAGTAATCTTCTCAGAATTTTAATAAGAAGTAGCTCATTTAGTTTAGGACTCTTTTTTTTAGCAGATTACAGTCCTAAATCTACTCCTATTGACTGTGGAAAGACTTGGTTGGAGGCATTTCCTTAGCTTGCTTTTTTTTCCCAGGCCCATTTCATTAAATTGTGATATAATGCCACTGCCCATGTTATTTCCTTTGTTAATCTTCCAAAAGCCATTTCAGCACCGAAAAATATGTGCCAGGAGAAATTACTTGGATGATTTGACATTTTGTTCCCAGTAACTTTACAGCATTGCTACCCTGCAGATAAAAGGAGAGAAGGAGCAAGTTCTCGTCCAGCCAAGATTAGCTCTCACTCCACTCTCACTTCAGGGATAATTCCTGATCTCACTTTAGCTCCAGCCTTTGTTTTTCTGAGATTAACAATACAGGATCTAGACCACCTTGCCCTGGTTTTGCACAATGAAGCTTTAGAGCAGATAATCACTGTATATAATCCTCACAAGTATTCCATGTACTAACACCTTAGAATTATCACCTCTCTAACCATCAAATTAACAGTTTCACTATGGCTACTCCAAACAAGAACTGGACTGTGCAGCCCCAGCTCAACCTCATATTTGTCTTGCCTTTTCATCCCCGCTTCAAAAAGGAGGGATCAAGGATTGGGAGGATAAATTGGGAAGATAAATTAATTTCAAGTTAATCCTGAGAGATCAGAGAAATCTGGAGTTCCTCAAAAGGCAGAAGGGATCCATGTGCAGCTGCTGGATGAGCTATGCATGCCCAGAGGAAAGGTGAAGTGAGATTTGTTTTGTTTCCATTCAGAAAACAGAGAGAATCCACAGAGTTGTAATAGGGATTTGGTGATAATCTGAAAGGTCTGTGCTGGTCATAGCCCACAGACATGGAAGACTGTTGTGATTGGAAACAAAACTTGTACAATAGCATTGACACGGCAGAAGCATCTCTGGTAATCCTGTGGCCAAATTCTCTCTGTGGGTGTAGAAGATTATTACAAGGGAATATTAAGAAACTTGGCTTTGCTTCTCTTTTCCCAAGAAAAAAAATCTCAGCCTGTTCCCATTGTGATAGGCAGTGCAGAGCTCAAAGAATTAACTTGCTTTCATAAACTCCTATTTAAGCAGCACATTAAACACTTGCAGTGCAGTTACCTCTTACACAACCAAAGCATTTGGTCAGGATTCACCTGGGGCAAGAGAGCAAATTGATTAGGGAGCTATTATCACATCTCTGTGTACCTCAAGGCCTACAGAATCAATTAGTGCTCTGTGTAGGTCTGTAACACGAGGCAGTGTTCAGTTACAACAGTCTGAGCTCATCTACACAGTATATTAAACATCACTGTGCAGTTTGATGATGTTCAGTCTACAGAGCACAGACACTATCTTATTACTCAGTCTGATATACAGGAATAGTGTTGTATATCAGGAATAGGATGAAAAGGCTGTTTTGAGAGATGCTGATCTTGCATTGAACAGGGCTCTTCATTTAAATAATCATGCACTGGCCTATTTTATCATTCTACACCACTACACTGTGCAGTGCATGTTCAGAAACATCTGGAACGATTAATTATTAGCACGATTCTGAAAAAGAGGACAACAACTATGGAACTTCAGTGCAGAATTTAGCAGAGGTGGATAAATAGCATGTTTAGAACACAGGGAAAGCTCTGTGATGGATATATCAGGAAGTGAAAACAGAAAGAATAGCAGCACTGGCTGTTCCGGGAGAGCTCAGCTGCCAAGCTGAAGAGTGAGCACTTTTGCCCAAACATCTGCTTTTCCACCTAAACAATCATGTCTTTGGTCTCTGAAATCAGTGACTGGGCCTTCCTACCCGGAAGAAGGAAATTTATCCATTTCTTCCTCAGTCTGCTTCCCGTTCAGCTAAAGCAAAGGAGCTCGAGCACAGCATAACTGGCTCTTGTGGGGTTTATTCACTCTTAGCTATGTGGAATTTTTTGTCAATTCTGAAAGATTTAGCAGCTTTCAGCACAAGGACAGGATGGTATCAGTTCTCCAGGTGTCACAGAATGACTGAGGTCTGCATTTGGGTGTTGAGAACACATTTCCATGGATATTTCTCCTCTGAGGCTGCAGAGACATTCCTTACCCCACGCTATGAGCTCTGGCTGCTGTGACCATAGAACTGCAGGAGGAGGACAAAGCTGTCTGGGCATCCATACCCTCATTTCTGATTAATGTGCCACAGAACCCAGAATGGTCTCTAGGCTTCTCCAGACAGAAAGGCTAAATCTCTGCTGGTCTCTCTTCCTTCTCTCTCACAAGTGAATTACAGCTTTGACCCTTCAGCCAGTTCCCTTATAAAGGAGGAAATTCCACCGTTTCTGTTCTCTCCATTCTCCTACCCTAGGCTAACCCCAAATGGCTCTCAGTGAATTTGGTGTCTGTAACAGAGATTCACAGCAGGATGTCTCCTGCTTCCAGCCACAGCTCCTGCTGGGAGTCCTGCTCTGCACAGAGCTCCTGCAGGAGGGAAAGGACAGGGCATGGGAGGACCCTGGGGATGAAGAGCTGCAGGAGCAGCACTGTGGTTATCACAGCATCAGCTAGGTTAAGGAAACTGTCCTGCACTCAACACACAACCTGCTCTGACATTCACAGGTGCCAATATCAGACCAGTGCCAAGGAGCAGCAACAAGCCCAGAGCTGCTCCCAAACATAAACTATTGAGGCCAAAGAGTTTATTACCTCTGTGAGGATCAAGCGTTGATACTTCGACTTCAGTGTACTCCACCTCAGCACTCTCAAGGTCAGGTCCTGCCCCAAAAATATCAAGAAGATGTTTCTTTGTAGGACTGCACACTTCAGTGGAGCTGTGGGCCTGATCCTGCTGGCACTGGAATTAATGGACAGGTCCTCACTGACTCTGAGAGGTGCAGGATCAGGCCCTGCTATGGCAGCTGAGTCTCTGCCAACCCATCCCCACAGCTCATCCGAATCCAAAGGCAGATTTCTGAAACTGTAGGACATGCAAATTGTGCCTAAACCCCTTACTTTCAATTTAACACCTTCAGAAGTGGCACAACACAAAAAGGAGTGGGGAATTATCACAGATTCTCCCATATTCCTGCTCCACTTCCAGCTCCTCTCTTCTATTTCTCTCCTCAGTGTTGCTTTCTCCTTCTTTTCTATGGCTGCTATGACAGGACACTTCCCATTCTCCACTTTCCTCACATTTTAAGCCATCTCTACGTCTTTCATGGCCTCCCTCATCACTTCTCAGACTTCTCATTTCTGCTTTGCCAATAAGCAAATTCAGCAGTTGCAGTTTCTCCTACATTGCCCTCCAGGCTCTCCACAGAACATCTGCAATGCAAACCCATCTCTCTCCTCCAAGCACTGCCACAATGCCCACAGGAGCCTGACAATGACCAGACAGCTGACCTGGATTTCTGGCTGACAGGTACTGCCTACCTGGATACAACTCACACAAGAAACAGCTCTTCCCTCCTACCCTGTCTTTTTCTCAGAGTGGAGATGGTTTTCTACTAGGTTTCTGTAAAAGCTGGAAGGAACCACAGCAGTCATCCAGACTGGAATCCTGCAGAACTGATTTGGCAGATTATTTTGTTCAGATTTCATAGCAGTTTATTTTTAAATTTAATTCTTAAGTATTTCAAGAGCTACGGAAATGAAGAAAGGACAGAGAAGGAAAAGAAGCAGAAATCTGTAGAAAATGTGTGTTTTTAAAAACCCTGAATATTTGTTATATAGAACTTACAATTTTGAGTCTAAGTTGTATTTTTATATCATCCTTCAAAAGATGGCCTGGAATTCAGCAGAGGTAATTACACTTTGTAATTCTGTTGGCAGATGAGTTCTATCAGTGTCATTTTGTGCATGGAAAATAGAGCTGAGCTCAGCAAAGAGACTTCCCCACTATCAGTGAGAAAAAGGAGAGGACTGGACCTCTCAAATCCTGATTACTACCATTAGAAAACACCACAACTTTCAATCATAAAATAATTTTAAAGTCTATTGTTTAAACATGAAATTACCTTTACTCTCATCTGTTGATTTCATGTGATTTTCACTATCTTCAATGTAACCTGATCCTAAAATATTAAAGCCAAAGTTGAGCTGCAAAAATGTTTATTATAGCCAATCAAATAAATGAGTTACAACAGCTGCAATTCCTGTTGTCATGATCTTTATTTATTCCACTTTTAGATTCACACCTAAGACACTCAGGTAACACAGGTGGGAAGAATTTGGCTTTTTCAATAACCAGCTAAAAACCACCCAAGGGGCAACTTTATGTTTATGCTCCAAACAACATCTCCACCTATCTTTGTAAAGCTCATTGAGCTCCTGGAATGAAAAGTGCCCAGTCATGGCATGTTAACATCTCTGTGCTGTGATCCACATCACAGGATCATGGGCCACAACTCAAATTTCCGCTCCAAAATAATTTTCTTGCAGCTATGTCAAAACTATCAAAAGTAATTTACTTTTACCATGATTTCTCCATCATGGTAAAATATTGCCAACTGATTGCCTGGCAGACTTATAAACCAATCTTTGCATAAGACATGCTCATAAAAACTGTACAAAGACAAAATGACAGAAGATGCTTTGGAGAATGTTAGTGGTATCCCTCTGTATTCCCAAAATGTTGGGCCCTAGCCAAACAACTACTATGCAAGTCCAAATCTTTAAACAAATGTTTAATTAAGATAACTTATTACCAGTCGTACAGCAAAACATCCTACCTGAATAGTAGTCTCCATCACTGGGCTGTCTTGTTAGCTTTTCACTTGTCAAGTTTGCAGCCAAGGCAGAACTGAAAAGCAGAACCAATAAAAGTTGATGTAATTATCCAAAACAGTCAATAAAAGCAACAAGATGATTCCGTGCAAAGATCAGTTGCTGTCTATGCTGACCACCACATCTTCTTAACTACTGAAGCTAATGAAAATTTTGCCTTTGTCTTTATGAGAAGCACAAACAAACTTTAAAGTCAAGAATGTTCCCTATTGCATTCTTCTTCTTCTTTTAAACCTCTGTGTTTTCAATTCCATATCTAAATGTATTCAGATACAGGCCTGACATTCTTCTGTTTCACTTAGCTGGCCCTTTTTCTATTTTTAGAGTGTTTCCTCATCCTGTTGTCGTGTTAGCAGGTGGTACATGAAGCAGAACCATCTATTGTCTGCAGGTGTGTGCCATAATAAACCACATTCCTGTGGAGGAAGGTATCAGAAAGGAGGAGAATCAGGAAAAGGTAAAACCCGTGGCTATAATAATATTAATAACAACAACAGCAATGAAAAGGAGAGAGAGAGGAATAAAAGCCAAGAAAAACAAGTGATGCCCAGCCAGTCCCTGGCAGTGATCAGCAGCTCCTGCCCAGCTCCCCCCAGTTTCAGTCCTGCTGTGATATTGCCACTGGTGTACTGTTGTGATAGTGATCAGCACCTGCTGTTCTTCAACTCCAGCAGCCCCACAGCAGCAGAGTCCTCTGAGAGATGGGGCAAGACAGCTGCTTCAGTTCCTCCAGGCTGCTGGACTCAGAGCCCACTGGTACTCTTTGAGTCCTTGAGGTGCCCTCTGAGACAGTCCATGCCAGGGACGTGCAGAGCTCTGGGCCAGTCACAGTGGAGTAGTCACAAGTAGTTGCTTAACCCTAAAGAATATCTGAACCACATTCAGCAACACACTGGTTCCTACCAATAGGACCATGATGGTCCTGATGGATCCATGATGGATCTGAAGTGTGTTTAAAATGTTCAGAGTTATCAGATGTTACTGTAATCAGCCAGGAGAAGGAAGGGAAGCTATGGGAAGATTCCTCCTCCACAGCCTGGCTCTCTGAGAAGGTAAAAGGTGTAATGATGAATAATTCCCATTAGATGTCTCCCCAGTACACAGGTGAGTTTCATGACAATTGTATGGCACAACAAAACAATAACCTCAGCTCAGGCCCCAGAGGTGATAAACACCACAACAGGGAACACACAGTGCAAGTAATATGTTGGATAACACAACTCTGAGAACAAGAACAACTCTGAAATTGAAAGAGGGAAATTTAGGTTAGATACTAGGAAGAAATTTCCCCTGTGAGGATGGTGAGACACTGGCCCAGTTTGCCCACTGGCAGTGTTCACAGCCAGGTTGGATGAGCCTTGAGCAACCTGCTCTGGTGGGAGGTGTCTCCTTAACATTCTATGATTCTATAACTCTGAGAGCAAATAAATCAACATTGTGACAAGTGGCTATTAAACTATTCTGAATGCTTGTAACAAGTTTGTTTCAACATGCAGTGGTCAGATCTGTTGTTAACTCAAGCCCTTTGAGCCCCACGTTGGGTGCCAAAAAGGACTAACCCCAGCTAAGCACCACACAGCCACTCACTCACTCACCACACACCCTGGCCCTGGTGGGATGGGGAGGGGGATTGGAAAAAGGTAAAACCCATGGGTTGAGATAAGAACAGTTTAATGATTGAAATAAAGTTAAATATAATAATCATAATCATAATAATAATGAGAGAGGAAGAGAGAGAGGAATAAAACCCAAGAGAAACAAGTGATGCTCAATACAACTGCTCGTGACCCACGGATGGATGCCCAGCCCATCCCCAAGCACTGATCAGTGCCTCCCAGACAATTCTCCCCCAGTTTCTACACTGGTCATGATGCTCTATGGTGTGGAATACCCCTTTGGCCAGTTTGGGTCAACTGTCCTGGCCATGCTCCCTCCTGGCTCCTTGTGCTCCTGCTCCTTGGCAGAGCATGGCAAAGTGAAGAGTCCTTGACTCAGAGTAAGCACTACTTAGCAACAACTAAGACATCAGTGTTATCAACATGATTTACATACTCAATCCAAAACACAGCACTGTACCAGACACTAAGAGGCAAATTAACTCTATCCCAGCCGAAACCAAGACAGCAAGGCATCTTACCCAGACATCTCCAGGGATGGTCCTTTAGCTTGACAGAGAAAAAGAAAAGCCTCTGTTAATGGATTGCACAAGGAAAGAATTGAAAAGTCAAAATAAAAAATATAGAGATTATCTGCCCAAATCAGAATATTTTTTCCTGGCTATCACAAAATTAATTACCTCATGTCTTACATCCCATTTATCACCCAGGTCCCTTAAATGTCTCTTTCACAGAGATCCTAAGGTCCCAAACCCCAGATTTTAGCCTGGCTAACTGGGACATCCAGATGCGCCAAGTTTTCCCAAATAATTTGCAGTGTATTGCAAATCACAGGATATACCAGATTTACCCATTTTCTGAAAGAACAAGATCTGAAAAAGATACCTTAATGATAAAAGACAAATCCTTAAACAAAACTGTATTACAGTGTGGGAAAAAATCCCAAACAATCCCACAACCTAATAAATTTGTTTCATGAGGATTAGAGAAGTACCTCAATTACACCCAAGTTGGGACCCAAATCAAATTGTTAAAGCTCTGTAAGTGAACAGAAACATCCTCAGGCCCTGTCTGCCTTGACATTGCATGAGGATGAACTCCAGATCTAGGACTGCACTGGAACAGTCTCATTCTGGCCTATACCTCCAGCAGCCTTTGCTTCCCTAGTGCCTGCCCAGCACCATCAGTTCGATTCTCCCATTCTGCCCAATGTACGTGGAAAGCTCCAGCACATTTGCAGCTTCATTTGGGTCATCAGGATCCTTGAACTGTCACCCCCACAAGCCTTTGCTGCTGACACAAGTGCAGCTTTAACTGCAATACACCCATCACCAAACAAAGAGAAAGGAACCATTCCTTACCCCTTTTCTTCTTACGCAGAAACCACCACACAGCGAGTGCTCCTACTCCTGCCATGGCTAATAGGACAAAGGCAGCAATGACTCCTTTCTGCCAAGCTGCTAAGATGACTGCAAAGAAGAAAAACATGTTTTAGGAGCTATTTACAGGGATAGGTCAGCATTGCCAAACTCTACCACAAATCAGCCTTGCACACTGGGGAAGGACTTCAGGGAGACTTGAATGCAAAGAGCACTAGTGACCAAAACAGCCTTAGAAAACCAGCTTGGTTTCAGTTTGCATCTGGCTCTTTTGGCTTTTGAGAATCCCTTAAACTTTTGTATGTATGTTGGACAATGTTTATAAACAGATCTCTCTGTTCACCTTCTGACAATGGTGGAACACAAACATGAAAGGGAGTTACACTCAGTAACATCCCAAATAAGTTGACCTCCCCTGTCATGATGACAGAGCTTATCATTCCCCATCTTACCACTGATGGTTATTGGGTGGCTCCTCACGTCCACCTTGGCTCTGTTGGAGGCCTCACAGTAGTATGTCCCTGTGTCCTGCCTCTTCATGCTTTTCTTGTGCCACATGATTCTGTCTGCATTCTCACTTTTTTCATACAGAAGAACTTCTCGATCAGTTTTTCTAAAAATCTTGAAGTGGATTGGCCAAGATCCTTCTTTCACAGAGCAGAGAAAAGCAGTCCCACTGCCATCTTCCACTTCTCCATAGGGAATGCTGCCCAAGCTGGCATCCTTTATGGGCACTGCAGGGCAAGGCACAGAGGAAGCAAATATTAGCACTATCAGAAATAACTTTGATGACAAAACATTGTGTTGCAGAAATGCTTGCTTGTTTGGTTAAGCAGAGACTGCAGGCACAGTATTATTCTTTCTGACCAGTCTCAGCCAGGCAGCATCCTCTAGTATGTATTTTTATACACCCAGAAATAGAGAGGGCACAGCAAGGGAACAAAGCAAACACAGGAGGAAATTATTCATTCCACAGAGGTCAGTCAGCCTCTTTTCTTAAGATCCTTTGGAGGCCCTTCTGGCCCCAACCTACAAATCAGTTAATTTCCAGAAATAACACTCAGCAGTTCAACAGTGTAAATAATTATGGTTCAGTTTATGTAGCTATGCTTTCATGGCTATGTGGAGTTCTGCTGTTTTATGCTAACTGTATTCTTGTAATGTTTAATATACAATCAGCAGATAATGAGACAAGTCCTCCAGAGGAATAAACAAGTCCCCAATTCCAATGGTTATAGAACATAGCAAACACAATGAGAGAAGTTATTTGAACAAGCTGTAAGGAGATGCACAGCCAAAATATAGTTTTTCAGTCTGCTAGTTTACAAATGAAGTGTATTAGCATATGCAGAGCTAGTGTGGGAGCAGATGAGCATCAGCCCTTGGAACTACATGGGGAAAAGGTGTCCATCCATTCCTTGATGCAAGGCATGTAGAATGGCAGCAGCTTCACAAAATGTTTGGGGTACAAAGCATCTGGATTGCTAAAATTCCTCTGGAAATATTATAAGTGTGTTATCCAGGGTCATGGATAGCATAAGGCAGATGTATCTGGATGGATCTGCTCCATGAGCATCAGCCCTTGGAACTACATGGGGAAAAGGTGTCCATCCATTCCTTGATGCAAGGCATGTAGAATGGCAGCAGCTTCACAAAATGTTTGGGGTACAAAGCATCTGGATTGCTAAAATTCCTCTGGAAATATTATAAGTGTGTTATCCAGGGTCATGGATAGCATAAGGCAGATGTATCTGGATGGATCTGCTCCAGTCATACAATAAGTGTGTTATCCAGGGTCATGGATAACATAAGGCAGATGTATCTGGATGTATCTGCTCTAGTCATACATAACTCAATGTCAAAACTCAGGGGGAAAGCAGCCTATTAACCACACGTTTATCTTGTTAAAACCCACACAATTTGGGTTCAATCTGGGACACAAAACTGAAAACTCCTTGGTAGAGAAAAATTAGCTCTTCTTTTTCGAAGGTCAAGAACAGACCTTGTAACATTTCACATCCATTTTGTTTAGTCCATCATATGCTGCCACAGCCTCAAAGCTCTAAATATGATGTTAGATGAGAAGCAGAATTAAACAGACTTACCTATTACTGTGACATTTAGGATATTGCTGGTCTTCAAACCACTGGAGTGATTATTTTTAGCATCACACCTGTACCCTCTTGTGTCATTTAGCCTAATGTTTTCATCCAAGAATGTAGCATATGTGTTATTAACCACTCTTTTCTTCACATCATTTCCTTTGTAGAATGTGAATGTTATTGGTGGAGTTCCCATCACTGAATGACAGATGAGCTGCAGAGGTTTCCCCAACACCACCTCTGGCAAACCGCTGACGACGGAGAGGGTTGGCTTGGAGACTGGAGCTGGAAGGGGAATAAAGGAAAAGAATTGTTGCAAATTACACTGCAAAAGGCCAAAAGATCCAGTATTATCTCACAGAAAACATATAAACATAAATAGTTAGCTAGTTTGCACACAACCTACACTGGGAAGCTCTTCCTCATTGGCAGAATGGAAATGGAGGGACTTGAACAAATCAGTCACATAGATAATAGAACATATGTGACAGAATAAAAGAGCACACAGGGAGAGAGTAAAGGAAGACAAACCACGGATCAGTGCCACAGCTGTGGATCAGCCAAACTCCAGAACTAGCTCTGACCCAAGGAACAACTCTGTTACATTACATGTATGTCCTGAGGTGGATCGTGCAGGACCTGACCAGGGCCCTGTGATCAGCAGCACAGCGAGTCGTGACCCAGTAGATCCCTTTGCACACTGGAGAACCAGCTGTGCCTGTTCCAGGAGAGGGAAGGGAACCCTTTATAATTAGTGTGCTGGTGAGGGGGCTGTGCTGGTAGCAAGATCAGCTTTTCTGGGGTAGAGCTAACCTGGTGACTTGTGGCTCTCGTGCCTTTCTGCCTGGACATCCAGGCAAAGGATTCCAGCAGACACTGACAGAGCTTCAAACCAAACTGATGAGTGAAAGGTTTGCAGAACACTCCCAGCTCCTGCACATGGCAGTGAATGAGAGTTCATCTAGCACCTAGCAGAATCAAGGGGCCAGAAGGAAGTGATGCTAACTCCCCTCTCCTAGGGTCAGCCCTGGGAATGTCTGACTGGATTAGATCACGATACACCAAAAGCTAAAGATGACAAGAACATCTCCCAGAAATGAATACTGAAAGAACTAACAGATGCCCTGCCAGCTCAGGGACTAGAGGTTGATTCTGTAAAGAGATGTGCTTATTTATAAGCTTATAGTTTTAATTTCCCTCCTACTCTGCGTTGGGTTCTAAAGCTCTACATCAACTCACCATAAACATTTATCCTTACAGGTTTGCTCTCCTTGACTATTCCTTTCACTTCAGCTTTACAGGTATAGGATCCAGTGTCATTCACACTAACTCTCATGGTTAAGTTTCTGGAATTTTTCAATAGGATGTCTCCACTGGAAACTTTCCGTAGTATAGAGAAATTGGCTCTCCGAAGACCATTAATGCTGCAGCTCAAAGTCAGCTCTTTATTTTCATCCACATCAGTCAGAGAAGTAGACAATGTTGGCTTGGGGAATAACTCTGCAAGATAAAAAGAGAATAAAATAATTCAAATTGAGCCTGAAAGAATATGACTACCTCAAAGTATGCCCAGTGGAGCACATACTGAAAGTTCATGATCTGGGAGCAAAACAATCATGTTATTTTAATATTATATTTTCAGGGAAAAGAGAAACTTTGCAATCTTGAAGCCACTTCTGGTGTTATTTGAAGGTATTATGTCAGTTGGGAAGCACTGGCAGGTGAAAATCAGAAACTGAAATCAGAATTGCCTTTAACTTCGAGAAAATTTGCCCTCAGATCTGGAGGTTACACTTTGACCTTGAGCTCTACCTGATTTCAATTTAAATAATAATCCTTTGAGTAAAATCTAAGATCAGCAGAGGTTTTACCTGACACCACAACACTCAGCTTGGTGGCTTTCGACGCTCTCCCTTGCTCCACCTTGCACAGGTATTCCCCACTGTCCTCTAGAGTAGCTACTGCAGAGTATTTCAGATCTTTCTCGTCCCGTACACTGTTGAGTATAGTTCTGTTTCTCTGGAGGATGATCTCGATGCCATGAACCTGAGCCACTGCAGTGGAGCACTCAAACTGGATTCTGTCTCCTTCGGTCACGTTTCGGGAGGGCTTGACAGCCAGGGAGGGTTTTATAAATGGCTCTGCCCAAGAACACAAACCAACAGAGAGGTGAATATATACACACATAAAAATACATGACCCAAAGAAACGTCAAAAAAACCCCTCAGTGACTCACCCTTGACTAAGACAAGCGTTTGGTTGCTGTATTCTGAGTTTTCTAATTCAAATTTCACGTGTCTCCTGCCAAAGCAGTCAAATTTTAAAATATTGTCTCCCTCTTCAATGGAAAATTCCATTTCAGAATAATTTCTGTGTGCTTCAAAGACAGATTTTTCCTTAGGTGCTGAATTTGTTTTTATCTTCCGGAAAAAGAAATGCAAAGGAGGTTCTTCTTCTGGCAGCTCACAGCGTAACTTCACAACTTCTCCCTCCAGAACCTCTCTCCTGTCAGCAGTCAGGGTTGGCTTGGTCATTCCTTCCAACAAAAAACAAGGAAAGAGAACACTGCATAATCCTGAAACAGACACTACCTCTGATGACTGTGGTAATGAGCTATGCTGATTAACAGATGCAAATACTTTGCAAGACCTGAGATTTTGAAGCCTGTTCCTTTGACGTGTGGATGCATGTCAAGGGACCTTCAGAAGAACAAAATAGCCCTCAAGAGGGTAGTACAGACCTGGTGCAAAGTGTGAGGTATGAAATTTGCAGTTCTGAAGGTGAGACTGCTTCCCCCTCAGACAGAGCAAGCACAGGAATCAAATGCCATCCCAACTCGCCTGTCTAGAGCTGCAAACCTGTGAGTAAAGATTACAGGCTCTGCACAGCCTGGGAACTAGCTAATGCTGAACAAAGTCTTTCCAAGCTGCTTTTCCAAGGGGAAAAATATCACTTGCAGGCAAGAACACATGGCTGGAAGGGATGGAAGTGGCCCCTGTCATCATAAGAGATGAAAGAACAAGGCTGCAATGGTTCTCACACAGGGAGTATCTCTGCACGTTATTTTCAGCATTCCCAGGAATTTCCCCTCTCCCCATCATGTTTATGATCCATAGGCAGAAGCTTTCACAAATAATATTTCCTCTAGTCTAGGGAACAGGCTCAGGACAGTGGGGATGATCCGCCACATGGCCTTGGCATCGTGAGTTCATTTCTGTGCCAGAACCTGAGGGTTTAGAACTAAACTATTTGTTAGGACTGTGATGCTGAGGGATGAAAACCACTTTGCAAGATATGCTGTTTAGCACTGACTATTTTTACAGCCCCTAGGAGGTTGTTCTTGTGTCTTAGGTTTGAAAGAACACTCACCTGTCACCCAAACATGTACAGCATTACTGGACTTTGTCTTCCCACCTGCTTTCACTGTGCACTCATATTCTCCTGTGTCTGGAGATCTAGCCACAGGGATTTCATACTGGGCATCTCCCTTGTCAGACACAGCCATAAACACAGGTTTGCCATCCTTAAATATTGTGAAATTATGCTTCAGCTGGAAATCATTGCTTTTGCTAACGTCAGCGTGGCAGATAATGGACAGGGGAGCTCCATTCTTCACCTTGACAGATGGCTGAACCTTGATCTCTACACTGTTGAAAGTAAAAACTTGAGAGAAAATAACAAAAGGAAAAAGTTATATTTATTTCCAGTTAGTCCAACATAATCCTGTTATCTCAAGTGGCTACATTTGAATCACAAAAATTAAATACAAAGTTTACATCGTCTTTGATAGGAATATTGTAACTTAAATCAAAGAAATAAAGTTCATAATAGCATTTATGTGTACATGTATGTGTGTATATAAATATATTCTGTGTATAAAACCAGACCAATGATAAATAATTTGGAGCTTAAAATATTATCATTGTTAGAATCCTAGTAGAATTACTATTTTTATTCACACAGCTGGAGGAACAAGAATAGAGAAAGATTTATTAGTCCATTCACTTTCACTGCCTTCAGAACTTACACTTTTGGGTCATGTCCACTTTGGTCAGGATTTGTATTAGAAATTTGCTACTAGGAGAGGAAAACTTTGCTGCATCTAAGGTCCCTCACCATATACACTAACTTACAGCTATTTGTGATTTGGCTTTTTTAGAAAGAGTTTTGGGCATAAACCAGTGCAAAAATGGTAAATTTCCTCCCCCATGCCTTATATGCTTCAGTAAAGCAAATTACTCTAGGAAAGATCTCACCACAACCATTGTTAAAGCATGAGCAGCACATCTCTCATTAAACCCTATACCAACACACACCACCAAGTAACCCCTTTTCTTTATATGGCCAAATTTCATACTGAGCTATCACACAGCAAATCCAAACAAACTGTTACGGATGCACAACAACGACTGAGGAATTGGTTAAATTAGTTGTTTCAAATTTGTACATAAAAAAATCAAACTGTTTTTCCCCTACCTCTCTCTTGCGTGTAAAGTCCTGAACCTGGAAAAAAAAAATGGCAAAGAAATGTTATTTTCAAAGCTTACAGATTGAGAGACAGTGATGGGAAACCATAAAAAGCCCCAGCAAACCCCAGACAAACCAGAAACACACCAACCCACCCAGATATTCAGTTATCAAACTTACACTGCAAGAAAATCACCAGAAGAGCAAGATACATCTCGTTCCCGAAGCACAGACACTTAATTCCACAATAAAACAATACTCATTATCAGAGGTGATGCCTCCAGGTACCAAAAACACGTTAGGGGTTTGTTTTCTGTTGTTGTTTTATGGAAACAGATAAAAATTTGCCATTAAAATTTGTAAGTTTTCCCAGGTCTTCGACAGAAACTGCCTGGATCAAGTAATCGTTCCCATTACTGGAAACTGGAAATGGCAAACAATGAGAATCTATCTGCTGCTCCCAGGCAGATTACTGCTCAGGAAGTGACTGGACTTTTCCTGAGGGCGCCACCAAATGCATTTGCTTTGTTTAATTTCTTAAGGTGTATTAAAAAAACAAGAAGTTCCAATGACATTTATCCTGCAGTTCCTGTCAATATGGGTATTTTTAAGTCACCATTAACCATTTAGGAACACAAATGACCTTCACTGCTTGACCTCAGCTCTAGCAAATATTTCTCTCCATCCTGATACAGAGAATAGATGCACAAAATCATTCGTTTTTCCCCTTTACCTCCATTTCTAGTCTCTCATCTTTGCTTCACTGTAGGACACACAATGAATCTGAATTATCTCAGAATGCAGAGCTGCTGTGTGAGACTGGAATACTGACAGGCAGAGCTCTCCCACTGCCATCATATAGCACCAGGTTTGATGTTGTGCAGTTAGGACAGTGCAAAGCACAACCATAAACCTGAAACCACACAAGGAAAAGA